GGCTGCTTGTGCCTTCTTGCACTGCAGAGTCCAGAGGGACAGAGCCATATCCACCAATGACCTGAAGCCCTGGGAAACCCCAGGTGCTCATGGAGCTTAGAGCAAACATGGAGCTCATGTGGAGCTCACATGGGTGGTGGAAGCATACATTGGGCTGGGTGTTCAGCTGGGGTGGGAACATGACTTGGCCTGCAGAGTCAAAGAAGGCTTCCCTAAGAAAGTGATGTTGGAGGAGATCAGAAGAACAAGTAACAGTCATAACTAACTCTTTAGGAACAGTTACTAGGTGCCAGGTATTATTCTCAGCAATTACATACAGGTCCTGGCACAAATAATATCCCTTTTTTATTACAAAATATTTTATTACAAAATCATAAGCATGTCATTCTATAACATAACAATATCACACTCAAGCACACCATATGATATTTTTAGTGAAATGTTCAAATTTAAACTATAAATTGTCACACCTGTATTATTAGTCTACCAACCACACTCAAGCAGGCCTTACTTCTGCCAGACCCTGTATTTCAAATCACCCAATTCCCATTGTGATTAGGTAATATATAACTCCCATTTTTCAGATGCAAAGAGGTGGGAAAAGTGATAATTTGATCAAGGCCACATAGTGAACAATTGGCACAGATAGGATTTGAATCTGAGCAGAGATCCCTAGGCCTAAGCTTTTTATTGCACAGTTGGCAGAAGAGCTGAAAGAAATGGGTGGGGATGGGGAGCAAGGAGTTGGGGAGGGCTGAAGACCAGGGAGGGCAGGAGAGTGGTGTGAAACAATGCTAAGGTTGGTGGGGCCAGATCATACTGGTCTCAGGACTGAGAGCAGAGTGTAGAACTCCACATAAGGAGTTTAAGCAGGGGGAGGAAGCGTTTCTGGTATATGATCAGACAGGTGTCCAGGTAAGAGATGAGGGCACTACAGGCCAGGGGACTGGGAAGGAGATGGAAGGAAGTGGACTTCGGCCCTCAGAATGCTTTCCCTGTATCCCTAAGGGTTACTAATGTCAATTCTTAGGTGTCCACCTGTTATAGCTTTTGTGAATAGCAAAGCTGGGGTTGTGTGCACACAAAATCTGAGTCTCCCCACCATTTATGGATATAAAAATCATGTGGTGAGGTGGGAAAAAGCAGGCTGTAAAAGAGATACTGCATGGTTCCAATCGTCACATAGACACATTGAAAAAATACCCAAAGGACATATACAAAAATGGTAACAGTGGTTACCATTGAGAAGAAATATTACAGTTGATCCTTCACTGGTAAAAGACACTTATAAATGAAATCTAATGAACAAAATAAACTAATTAACAAAATAGAACCAGAAGCACAGAAACAAGGAACAGACTGATAGTTGTAAGAGGGGAGAGAGGAGGTGGGAACTGGTTGAAAGGTGAAAGGATTAGTCAAACAACATATATATGACTCATGGACATGGACAAGGGTGTGGGGATTGCCTGTGGAAGTTGGGGACAGGCTGGGTGGAGGGGGACAAAGGTGGAAAAATTGTGAGAATGGTAATAGCATAAACAATAAAATTTTAAATTAAAAAATAAAGTTGACCTTTATTCTTTCTTTGCATCCTCTCTTAGACTTGTTTTTGCAATGATAGCATATTAATTTTGTAATCAAATAAATATGCTTTTTGGGACTGCTTATTAGTCTATGAGGTTAATCACTAATATTGAAAATCTTGACTTGAGTGTGGCCCTGTGTACTGGGTGGAAACTGGTGAGACCAGGGTATTGGCTCAGTCTGTTGTGGTTGAAGCCTGACTCCTAGTGGATAGAAACACCAAGGACAGACCTCTCTGTTTTCAGACATCTACATAAATATCATATTGCATATTTATTCACTCATTTTGTCATCCAACAAATATGAACTGATCACATTGTAAAGGCTTAGCATAATGGAAATTTTTAAAAATTACAATAAATTATAATAAAACAAGGTTTAGGAGTATGGCTTATCTCTACTTTTGTTCAGGTGTTCTTTTTGTCTCAACATGGGTTTCTTCACATAGGCCCTGCTCCTCAGATACTGTTTATTTTCTGTTACTGAAAGTGGAATATTTTTCTTGGTATATTTTTCTGATTAAAATTTGTAGTCCAGAAGCTACTAATTGTCATATGTTTACACCTGATAATTTTCCTATACTATATTATGTTTTTGTGATAATTCTTTTTGTTCTAAAGGTATATAATCATGCAGAAAGAATCTTGTCTATTTTATAGTAGTTATATCTCTTATTTCAGAGATCTGTCCATACTAGGTATTCTTCATTTAATCCTTTAAATCTACTCCTCCATCCTTCTTAATCTGTTTTTTAGCCAGGGAAACTTCTGCTGGTTTCTGCCAATGGGAGGTACCAGCACAAGATCGGAGGGTGGGAGGGAGAGACAGATAAAGAGATAACTATTAACTTCCTTTGAATGATAGCAACCTATTAATTTCCTTTCCCACTCTTTACTATTCCTGTCTAGTTGTGTAGGAATCACAGATGTTGCTGAGATCTTCCATCTGTACTTAAGTCCACAGTGCTTATCAAAAGGCTGCAGGTCTATTGCAATCCCAGGCTTCCCTTTCAGGCCATCCCCTTGCCTCTTCAGGACTACAAGTGGACATGCTTCCTGTGGTTGTGAGCTGTTAACATTGGAACTATCTTAAATATCTTAAATATTAGTAAAGGTGATAGATTGAACCCACATGTAATTTAAAAAATTTTTTTTAAAGATTTATTTATTTTTTAATCTTTAGAGGAGAAGGGAAGGAGAGTGGGAGAGAAATATCAATGTGTGGTTGCCTCTTGTACATCCCCTGCTGGGAACTGGCCTGCAACCCAGGCATGTGCTCTGACTGGGAATCAAACCACGATCCTCTGGTTCGCAGGCCCAGGCTCAATCCACTGAGCTACACCAGCCAGGGCACACATATAATTTCATTTCCTCCCAAACCCCCACCAAAACTACATAATAAAATCCTTAAAAGTCATCAACCCCTAGGATAGGGAGAAGCAGGATCATGGCAATACAAAGTTGGAGATTAGGAAGGTGATGGGCAAGTAGTAACTGACTTGGCAGATCCCAGTGGAGAAAGCCAAGAACCCACCTGTTCTATGTGGCAGACCTCCAAGGCTGAGAAAATGGCAGGTATCCTCTCCCACTCCAGACCATTGGGAGATCTCTGGACTCCGGACAGAGCTGGGGGCCTGGGTAGCATTTCAGAATGGTACCCAAGAATATGCAAACTGATTACTCTGTGATGAGTGCCTTCTTTTTCTACGGGGTACCCACAATGCAAGAAGCCACATGTCCGGTTTAGTAGGAGAGTGGAAAAGTTTCTCTGGGGCTCTCACCAGCCAAGAGAAGAGCCCTAAAATCATTGACTTCCAGGTTTTCCAACAAATGGCTTGGCAATGATCAAAGTCAACTCCCTGTCCCCACCACCCCCATACTTAGAGCTTCCAATCTGCTTTTCAGTTCATGTTTAAAACAAGCATGTAACAAGATGTTCATGATTAAGAACATCTGAGGAACAAATTATATGAAAGGTGGAGACCAAAACCATGGGAGGAAAGAGAATACGTCAAGAGAAAATGAAAAACAAATTTATCCTCAAGGAGATAAACAGTCACAAAATAAGTAAACACATACTAACTACAAAAAAAATTAAAAGTGAGCTCTTAAAACAAAATGGCAAAATTAAGGAATGAAACATAAAGTTGAGGAAATCTCCCAGAAAGTGGAGCAGATTCAAAAGAATGGGAAATAAGGAGCAAAGAAACACATACAAAGAACAGTTTGAAGGAGGGCCTACCTTGGTACTTTGAGTTACAGAAAAGGACCAGAGTGGTGAGAAAAATCCATAGGTAAGAACACAGGCTCTGCATCAGATTGGCCTACATTCCAAACCTTAGCTAGCTGGGCTGTCCTGAGCAAAGATTAAACATTTCTTTGCCCCAGTGTCCTTACCCTCAGATTTCTTATTGGGTTATGATTGAGGGTTCAAATTCATCCATGCCAAGTTCTAAGACCAAGTCAATACTTGTTACATTCTCAGTAAATGACAGTGTCATTAATTTTCACAATCATGCACTACATATGTCATTAAATTTATTGGCTTTCCCTTCAAGTATATTCATAATTGAACCACTCATCTCCACTATCACCAGTCATCTCCTATCACCTGCCCCAGAATACTTCAAATTCTGATTTCCCAGCTCCCACCTCTGCCATCCCTATTGTCTTGTCTCAACATGGCAGCGGAGGTTATCCTTATGCAATTTAAGTTCCATTGTGACACCGTTTTGCCGGAAACCATGAGTAAATGCCAAAGATTTTACCATGAACAAAGTGATTCCTCTCCTCATAATCTGAACCCCCATTATCTCTTGACTTCAACTTCCACTACTTCCCTTCCTCTACTGGCCTTCATACTGGATGCTGAGTGTGCTAGGCACCTTCCTCTCTAGGGCCTTCACCCCTCTGTTTCCTCTGCCTGGAATGCTGTTCCGTCTGCATGGAATGATCTTCTAGATGTCTGAATGGCATACTCATGTCCTCTAATCCTTGCCTCAAATATTTTCCTGATGAGGTCCATATAACTAAAATTTAGGTTACTTTTAACTAAAATTCCAACCACACCTCCCTGTCCTTTCTATCTCCCAATTATTTTCTCAACACTATTAAAAAATTTTTTTTTCATCCTCATCCAAGGACATTTTTTCATTGTTTTTTAGAGAGGAAAGGAAGCATCAATCCAAGAGAGAAGCATTATTGATTGCCTCTCATACATGCTTGGACCAGGGTTCCTGAGCACCTGGACTGGGTTTGATCCCCCGCAGCCTTTATGTTATGAGACAACATTCCAACTGAGTCACACCAGCCAGGGCAGCACTTATCATTAACTGACATATTAAAATGCTACTTTTTCTTTTATGAGCACAGGATTTTGTCTCATTCATTGATGCATTCCCAGCAAGAATGATCAGCATGAGGCAGGAACTTAATGTTTATTGAATGAACAAGAAACTAGCCCAGAACTGAAAGACAAGTTTCCAGACTAAAAGGTCCACCGAATGACCAGTAAAATTATTACAAACTTTCCAAACATCAGGAACAGAGAGATCCTGTAAAGCTTACAGAGGTCACAATCAGAATGTCATCCAACTTCTTGACAGCAACTTGGGAAAGAGACAACTGACAATTCCCGACCTAGAATTTATTCCCAGGTTAAGTCTGAAGGTAAAATAAAAGTATTCTGACACCCAAGGTCTAAAAGCACTTTGCCTCCCATCCCTTAAAGCTAGGATGTGCATCACCTACGGAGAAAGAAGGAAGCACAGGATCCTGCAATCAGATGTGATGGGGGCACAAGTCAAAGGCAATCTCCAGGATAACAAAGGGATGACAACTGTGCACTGCAGCACAACCAGTTCAGACAGAAGAGGGGCGGGTCACACACCAGGCCTGGTGAATTTAATCACACCGTCCTCCATGCTGCTAAAACCTTTCATTTGGGAGAAAGGCGGAGTTGTACCAGGATGGTGGCTGTGCAGCATTCCAGACAGAAGTGGCAGGACCCAGAAGGGATCATACCCAGGGCAGGAAACAGAACCAGTAAGATCACTGAGAGGGCCATCCTTGTGGAAATGTGTGCAAAATGCCTATTAAGGAGTATGAAAAGAATTGGCAGTAGATACAAAGAAAACTAAGTTCTGTGTGTATGATATTTTACTTTAAGAAACATAAAAGTGAAACAGGACTGTATGTATCACTTTGAAACACTGAGCTGTGAGAAGAAACTGGAGGAAGTAAGAAAAAATGGGACAGACCACTGGATTTTTAAATAAGCCATTTAAAATTATATATATTCCTTAAATAAATTAAAATTGATTTTCAAAAAAATAAGCTTTGCAATTTCACCTATCATAATTTTCCTTTCACAGTATTTACCGACTACAGTGTGAGAGTGAGACATGGGAACCTAGAAAACCAAGGTGGGAAAAACATGAGAAAATTTAAGAGTACTGTGAAATAGTTTTATTGGCTTGTAAGACCTCTGCATATAAAAAAAATACCCCAAACACTATGCAGTATTAAATCACAATTAATTTTTTTACCAATTAAAACTACCCAGAATATACATTTTTAAAGAAAAAAAATCCTACAGAACTGAATTCTGAAGTGACATTATGACTTAAATACTTTGACAAAATAGATAATTCCTTATAACATTAATTCATTGCACAAAGCTGCCAGATACTTTCATAAGCATAACCACTGCAGAGTGCAAATGAACACAATTTCAACATTCCACATTTTGAAGTAACTGTGCCTTCACCTAAGGAACTCTCAAGTTTCTGGTACAAAAAGTTGGTTTGTTTTAACTCCCACCAGATAACCAACGTCACAGTCCATTTACTCTCTTTCTGGCCATTCCTATTAAGAAAGGGGAGGGGGAAAGAAAAGTAACATTCTTCCACTGTCATAGCATAAGAGTCAGCATCGCCTTTGTTTAAAGAAATCCACTCCTCTCAATTCCTCCGGTAGGTATTCCTGGTCCACGGGTTCACTATACATGGGGTTGTACTTGTAGCCCTTGCCGTAGCCCAAATCCTTCATCAGCCTGGTTGGCGCATTCCTCAAATGCAGTGGGACTGGGGGCAGAGGCCCCTGGTGGTTTCGCAGGCAGGCTTTGACATTGTTGTAGGCGCTATACACCTCAATAGACTTTGGAGCTCTGGCAAAATAGACTACGCACTGGGCCAGAAGCACCTAGGTGAAAAGTAAACATTTTATTATGAGGGTGCCGGAAAGTTTCTGTTTTGCAAATATCTTATGACATCTCTAGTCAATTCTGAAAAGGTTCCCACAGTGCTTTTATTATTCCCCTTATTGCCTATAGTCTGGATAACCACCTATGATAGAAGAAATTCCTACATGAGAAGGGAGGTTGAACCAGACCAGTGGTTTTATTTTTCAAAAACTGAAGAACTTGTTATTAAATGAAGTTTTTCTTAAAACCCCAATATATAAAACATAACCATGAGCCTGCTCCGTTTGTGAGTGAACTTGCACAGACTTCCTGTTCAGCTCTTTCAACAATTCTGTCCCTAAGAAATCCTGAGCACTTCCTCTGAACTTCAGACTCCTGGAAGTAGTTTGAAAATATGATCTTGTTGATACCTAAGGTCCCCTCTCTCTATAGAGGGAGGGTTATAAAATGTAAGTTAAAAAGCCAAGCATCTTTTTCAGTGGGCCCATACATCAACAGTGAGGGCAGAACATATATTCAAATCCACAAAGGGACAGAACACAAGCAAAAGGCACTGATTTGCAGAGAACTGAGCGGATTACTTTACCTCACATTCAGGCATGCCTATAAAATGACAGCCTTGGTAGGCAGCAACTGCTTGTGTTAGTGCAGATGGGTCAGCCAGACCTGTTACACACAAAAAGAGAGAAAGGAATGTTTAAGTGACAAGTCACACTCCCATCTTGACCTATGTGCTGCTGTGACCAAAGACCATCATTGCTGTAGACTCTGTTGACCAAAACAATCCCACTTAGCAAAATTATCTGACTTTTCTTTGATCTTATTAGCTTATTCAAGAAATATTTACTGAATGGTTACTGTGCAATGTCAAAAACTGTTTCCTCAGGAATAAAAACTCTATTATGTTAAGTAAAAACAAATAAGGGACTTTAAACATAAGGAGTGAAGACCATGATGCCTGTCACAAGGATGGATACATTAAAAATAAAATACTTACTAACACCAAAGAAAAATTTTTCTGATCTTTTTCTTTAAATAGTGTCCAGAGAGTTCTAGCCAAGATGCAGGCATAGACAGATATGCTTCACTTCCTTGCACAACAAAAAGGAGGATAACCAATTTAAAAATAAACAACCAGATCTGCCAGAACATCAAACTACATGGAACGCCGACAACCAAGAAGTTAAAAAAACATTCATTCAGAATGGTAGGAGGGGTGAAGACAGGCAACCCAGAGGGTGGAGGACCTGTGGCAAGGAGGCGGACTGCATGGGTGAGATGGGGCTGGTTGACCTGGAAACTGAAGACTCAAACCTCTAGCTGCAAAATACTGCAGGGGTTGGTGAAGGCAGGAGAAACTCCCAGTCTCACAGGAGAGTTCATTGGAAAGTGGGGCTAGAACTTAGCAGCACTGTTCCCTCTTTAATCTCTCCCCCACAGACAACGTCACAAAGTAGCAATGAGAGTTGTCCCACCATGGCAAATGCCTAAGGCTCCACTCTTTGACAACATAACAGGTATGCTGAGACAAAGAAATATGGACCAGATGAAAGAACAAATCAAAACTCTAGAATAAGAGCTAAACAACGAGGGCATAGACAACCTATCTGATGCAGGGTTCAAAACACTGGTAATCAGGATGCTCACAGAATTGACTGAGCTTGGTCATAAAATGAAGGAAGAAATGAACGCTACACAAAGTGAAATAAAGCAAAATATACAGAGAACCAACAGTGAAGGGAAGGAAACTGCGACTCAAATCAATGATCCGGAACAAAAGGAAGAAATAAACATCCAACTGGAAGAGAATGAAGAAACAAGAATTCGAAAAAATGAGGAAAGGCTTAGGAACCTCTGGCACAACTTTAAGCACTCCAACATCCGAATCATAGGGGTGTCAGAAAAAGAGGAAGAGCAAGAAATTGAAAAATTATTTGAGCAAATAACTGAGAATGTCCCCAATCTGACAAAGGAAATAGGTTTCCAGAAAGTCCAGGATGCCCAGACAGTCCTAAAGAAGTAGGACCTGAGGAAGAACATACCAAGGCACATCATAATTACATTACCCAAGATTGAAGATAAAAAGAATTTTTAAAGCAGCAAGAGAAAAAGGAGACAGTTACCTACAAAGGAGTGCCCATAAGACTATCAGCTGATTTTTCTTACAGGGAGGATGGGGCTGGAAGAAGTATTCCAAGTCATGAAAGACAACAACCTACATCCAAGATTACTCTATCCAGCAAAGTTATCATTTAGAATGAAAGGGCAGATAAAGAGCTTCCCAGACAGGAAAAATCTAAAGGAGTCCACTATTACAAGCCCTTATTATATGAAATGTTAAAGGGACTTAGATCTAAGAAAAAGAAGATCAAAACTATGAACAGTAAAATCATGACAAACTCACAACTATCAACAACTGAACCTAAAACAAAAACAAAAACAAAGCAGACAACTAGACCAGGAAGATTCACAGAAATGGAGATCACATGGATGGTTATCAGTGGGGAGGGTGAGAAGGAAAATGGGGGAAAAGGTACAGGGAATAAGAAGCATAATTGGTAGGCTTAAAATAGACAGGAGGAGTTTAAGAACAATATAGGAAACAGAGAAGACAGAGAACTTATATGTACAACCCATGGACATGAATTGGGGGAGGGATGCTGCACGGTGGAGGAGGAATAAAGGGTAGAAAAAATTTGGGACAAGCAAAATATCATAATCACTTAAATACCAATATCAAAATACACTTAAAAGAAAAATAGTGTCCAGAATCTTCCACCTCTATCTCAGTAGTGATCCAATAAATACCCCGATACCTGACGGGAAAGCAAATTTAAAATATTTCCTCTATTTCAAGTCATGTTAGGAAAATCACCACTGAAGAGGAAACAAAAGATGACAAAGTGTTTAGGAACGTAAAGACTCAAAAGCTCATACACACTATCAAAAAATAAAGTTAGAGGACTTCTGGCAAAGATGGAGGCTGCACCTCCTTGCACAACCAAATTTAAGGACAAGAGTTAGAAACAAAAACCACCAGAACAGACAGAAAATTGAACTGTACCGAAGTCCGACAACAACGAACCACTCATCAAGACCGGTAAGAGGGGCAGAGTCGAGGTGAGTGGTGAGGGGTCCCAGCAGGAAAAGGCAGTGGTTAGCAAAACCCGTATGGGGAGGAAACGAGGCCCACAAGGTGGTTGGCTGACCAAGGACACACAATCATGTGCAGATAAGCCAGGCCAAAAAAAAAAAAAAAGGGCAGTGAGACAGACCACACAACCTAGGGCCCCAGCAACAGGAAATAAAGCCTAAAAGCACCAACTGGAAAAACTTTCAGGGATTGAGGTGCTGGGAGAGGCTCCCAGCCTCACTGGAGAGTTCATGGGAGAGATCCACAGAGTCCTAGAATACACACAAGCCCACCCACCCAGGAACCAGCATCAGAAGGGCCCAATTTGCTTGTGGGAAGCGGCAGAGGGGACAAAAATGTGACAGAGCAGAACAAGCACCACTGCTCCCTCTCTGACCTTGCCCCTACATACAGTATCACAACCCAAGGACATGGGTTGACCTGCCCTGGTGAACACCTAGGGCTCTGCCCCTCATACATAACATGTACAAACAGACCAAAACATTATGACTCAAACAGAACAGATCAAAGCCCCAGAACCAATATTTCTAAGAGACCAAGAGACAGCCAACCTACCAGATGCACAGTTCAAAACACTGATGATCAGTATGCTCACAAAACTGGTTGATTTTGGTCACGAATTAAATGGAAAAAAAAAAAAAGGCTACACTAAGTGAAATGAAGGAAAGTACACAGGGAACCAATAGTGATGGAAAGAAAACTGGCTCTCAAATCAATGGAGTGAACCAGAAGGAAGAAACAATCAAACAGAACAGGATAAAGAAACAAGAATTCGAAAAAATGAGGAGAGGCATTTTTATCTTTAAGTGTTCCAACATCCAAATTATAAGGGTACCAGAAGGAAGCACAAGTGGAAAACTTATTTGAACAAATAATAAAGGAGAACTCCCCCAATCTGGCAAAGAAAATAGCCTTCCAAGAAGTCCAGGAATCTCAGAGAGTCCCAAAGAAGTTGGACCCAAGGAGGAACACACCAAGGCACACCATAATTACATTAGCCAAGATTAAAATGAAGGAAAGCATTCTAGAAGCAGATAGAGATAAGGGGATAGTCACCTACAAAGGAGTTCCCATCAGACTGTCAGCTTGATTTCTCAAAAGAGACCTTATAGGCAAGAAGGGGCTGGAAAGAAGTATTCCAAGTCATGAAATGCAAGGACCTACATCCAAGATTACTCTATCCAGCAAAGCTTTCCTTTAGAATGGAAGGGCAGATAAAATGCTTCTCAGATAAAGTCAAGTTCAAGGAATTCATCATCACCAAGCCCTTATTATATGGAATGTTAAAGGAATTTATCTAAGAAAAGATAACAAATATGAACAGTGAAAGGACAGCAAACACAGTTATTGACAATCACACCTAAAACAAAAGCAAACTAAGTGGACAGCTAGATCAGGAGTGGAAGACAGAAACGGAGATCACATGGAGGGTTAGCAACAGGGGAGGAGGAGGAGGAGAAGGGGGAGAAGGTACAGATAATAAGTAGCATAGACGGTGGGGAGAAAATAGACAGGGGGAGGGTAACAACAGTATGGGACAGAAGCTAAAGAACTTAAAAGTATGACACATGGACAGGAACTAAAGGTGGGGAGTGTGTGGGGAGGGGGTGTACAGGGTAGAGGAGAATGAAGGGGGGAATGCGACAACTGTAATGGCAATAATCAATAAAATATATTAAAAAATAAAGTTAATTCCTACTTAACTCTTCTCACCTGTCCCACATGGCTCAAAGAAACTCTTAAGTCAAAAAGCAGTATTTCATCCCTCCACATCACCCCACCCTACTCTACATGGACACCAGATTCTGGGACCTTCCCATCACACTCACCTATGTCCTCACTGGCAAACCTCACAAGCCTCCTTGCCACATACAGTGGGTCCTCTCCTCCTTCAAGCATGCGTGCCAGCCAGTAGAGGGAGGCACTCTGGTCTGAGCCCCGCATCGACTTATGAAGTGCAGAGATGCAGTTGTAATGTTCTTCTCCTGGACACCAAAAAAGCACCTGCTCAATTACTGGCAGGAAGAGAGAACCCATAGTCTCCTAGCAGAAGCCATCCAAGCTGTATGTTGCCCTCACTTGGCTTACATTAAGGAAGGCTAAATTAGTGTAGTACCTAGGAGAGCCTAGGAGAATGAGGTTTTGTACTTATCTTCAGGCTGTGCAGTGAAGGGACAGTGCCCTGTTATGGTTGCTGGGGAAGGCCCACAGTTCCCTACAGGGCCTGTGGACTTGTGTGATCACCCAGTCCAACTCAGAGTAGGAACCTGCTGGGAAATTTGTGGGGTTCACATTGAATGTGAGCAAAGACCAGGCAAAGGGAAGGGGCATTCACTTGGTCTTTATAGACCTCAGTGGATGTGCCACTGAAGAGTGGAGAGTGACTCTGATGTTCTAGTTCTACCATTTGACTCAACTGTCAATCTGAGGAAAATTGACCCTGGGCCTGGATATAGCCATTAAAATCGAGTCAAATGGCAAGAGCAGCTGTTATAGCCCATTTGTTCCTCAGTGTCATTTCCAGTTGTCTTTCTGGTATCTGAAGCCTGTGGTCATTTAAATCCAGTGTGGGGACACACATGTGTGGCAGGATCCAAGAAGGACTGACACATGGACTAAAAGCTCTTACCCATACCCTGAAACCACTGTAGCCCTTCTTTCTCACCACTTGGTCTTACTTATATACAAATCAGTGAAATGTGCTTTAGAAAATATTTAATAAAATTACAAACATTTAAAATATTTTAAAATATTAAAAATTATTTTTAAATATTTTAATCTATTCTAAAATAAATTTTAATAAATTTATTTTTAAATAATTTATTTTAATTAAAAAATACCTAAATATTTAGGAAAATATTTAAAAAATTACAAACATTTGCATTTGTACACATTTCACTAGGTTCTGACCATCATTGCTTCCTTAAATTTGAGGAGAGGGTACCCTCCTCATGAGAATGCAGAGGAATTATTCTTATTAGTATTAGTCCTTCCAAAGAAGCACCTGGCCTGTGCTCTCTTCTTCAAGCTGCGGCCAGCAAGACCACAATCTACTCTACACAGCATTTGGGCCCCAGGAACAAGTCTTGGCAACAGACTATGCTGGTAAAACAGCACGACCTTCAGATGAAGAGAGCATGAGATAAAATGCCAGTCTGCAAGAGGTCAAGAACCCTTGAGAGGCTGCCTGTGGGGGCCTGAAGACCTTCCATTTTTCAGAGAAGCACCAAGGCAGACCAATAGTTTCAGTAGGGCTGCCAGATTTCTGAGAATAAACTGATTTGTCACCTGTCCCAGGGCTTTCTCAGATAAGTCACAATGGCATGGAGACTGGGTGGAAAAGTGTCCTGCATGAAATCCACATGGTTCTGGCCCACCACCTGCACAGGCCTGGACATGGACCCTGTGCTCTGCGGCCTTCCAGTGCTGAGCTGGACGTGGGGAGGCAGCCAGGTAGTGCAAGCCTGGCCAACTCATGGACATGGAAAAGATGGGTGAGGCCACCTCCACTTCACTTTCTGTCAAATGTAAACAGGAGATAGCAGTGAATCTCCCCTGCCATACAAGTTACTCATTTTCTTCTATCTTTACCAAGGGTCAACAATAAAAGGCAACACAGGCTCTGGAGCCAAGTAGCCTTGGGTTTGAATGCCAAATGTATCAGCCATGTAATTATGGGCAAGTTACTGACCCTCTATGTTTCCTGGGGTTTCTCATCCATAAAATGGACATTGTAAGACTAGCCTAATGCATAGCCATGAGTATTAAATATTGTATGTCTGGTATAGAGTAAACACTATAAAAACATGTGTTAGATAGTACTCTATACTAGCTTCTAATTTTGCTTTTATTATGTACCACTTTATAACTTACAATTTCATGTTATATATGTAGAACCCTGACCTCAATGCATGGCACAGTATGTGTTCTTACTTGGAAACTTCTTCCTTCTGATGCAGAATTATCTGAGCTAGTTACTGGGTCCTACAAGTAACTATATATTAGATGACAAAAGAAATAATTAAAATCCTGGGCATGAGGGTCTTTGTCTTACCAGGGTTATAAACAGGCTTGAAAGTATAAGCTAGTAGGTTTCCAGAATGCTTCTATCATCCCTACTGATGGAACACAGCCTGATTCTCTAGGATATGAATTGTTTGAGTGTCTCCAGCTCAACTGTGGAGCAGGTATATTATACACAGGATGGGACAGAGTGGGGTGTAAGACCTGTGGATTGTGTGGGTTCTCAAGACCTGATGCCAGGTAGCTTCCACTACCCCCAGCTCTTCCCGGGGCAGCAAAGAAGATGATCCCTATTGTGCATAGCTCCACATGATGAAATATGAGTTCCAAGAAGTAGGAACTTTAAGATTGGACATATCTGACATCCACTTGTGTGGGTGTGTTGTCTATGAGTAGGTATATGCCAATATGTACGAGTGTTTACAGGCTTAAGTGTTCAAATGGGTGTGAGAGAGTAGATGAGTGTGTGAGTGCATGTGTGAGTGGGTGTGAGGTGAGTGACATACTCCAGCAGTGAGACTGGTGACCGCGGGGAAGTGCTGGTATGGAGGCAGCACCAACAGTGGGGAAAGACGTAGTTCTGGGGAACCAATCAGACCTGGAGTTAAGGATGAATTTAACCACTTGCTTTGTGAGTTTAGGCAAGTTTTATCCTCTATAAAATGAAGATAGTATCAATAGTTAACTCCTAAGGTTATTTTGAGAATTAAAAGAAAAAAGACAATGTATATAAAATACTGAGATGCAATGTTAGGTAATGTTTTGTTATATGGTAGCTTTCTTTTTCTTAACTGACAGTCTGATAAGATTATGAAAGAACATTTTTAGTTGGTTCAATCAAAATGACGAGTCTCTTTTAGGACACCTAAAGTAGAGAAAAAGCCCACTGTGGCTGGAACCCCCAGAAACAAAGGAGAGTACAGCATGTGGGACTGTTTTTTACCTCCTAAAATTTTTAATTTTGTTCTTATCTCCAATTTTTGTATTTGGCCGAAAATAAAGCAAAACTCTACACTAGAATGTTTTACTTTTCCGATTTTCCAAGTATTCATATGACATTCAAGAGCACAGAGAACTGACCATGTGAGATCCCTGGGTCATGAGAAGAGAGGTCCCTGGTGAGCGGCACATTCACATCAGAAAGCAAACAGACCTGTTTGCCTTTGTTAAATGCCTCCAATGTGTCCTTAGTGCTTATTGACCACCCCATCTCCATCAACTGTGGTGCACGAAGGCTGAGGAGCTTCAGTCTCTTCCTCAAGGTCACACATATTCTGTTCACTGATAAGGAAGTGGTCAGTGCCTGGAACCATGGTCATTCTTAAACTCCTTCCCCCACCTCTAACCAGTAAGAAGTATTCTCCAACATTAAAATGCATTTGGAAATACTGTTAAAGACATGGTACAACTTATGTGATATCTAGAATGTTCAAGTATCAGCTTCTATTTCTGGCATAACTTTTAAAGGTGTGGAAATTCTATTCCTGTTTTTGCAATAGGAATATTGCAATATTCTTATTGTAATATTCCAATAACAGGAATATTCTTGTTATTGCAATAGTATTTGTGTGGTTCTAGATAGGAGTTCAGGTTAATCTATGAAAGTTCAGGTTAATCTACAGTGCACTATCTTCTTCACCCAGATCTTTTACAAACACACAACTGTGCTGCACTCGTGACATTTAATATTGCCAGGTCATGGATATCATAAGAGCTGGTATCAAAATTGATATCTGTAAATTCTATGAAAACAGATAACTGCATAAAGCAAAATCAGTTTTTTTTAAAAAGCTATGACAAAATAAGAGCATCAAGATCCAAATAAATTTAACATTTTAGTTCAGACTCTAGAAATCAATAATTTTAATCCTCATTAAACTAACAGTCACTTGTTTCCAGAGTCCCATTGTTATTTACTGCCATTACAAATTATCATAAGAATTGCTGTCAACTGACTGTACAGGTTTTAAAAATGCTGGTGTTCTAAAATGCACCATCAGCGAGTAATAGAAAAATAACCACCTTATAAGTTGAAGCCTGCAATTTCAAACCCGCAAAGTCCTCTCAGTTCTTATCAGGACAGCTTCTGTTCTGTGCATCTGTTAAGAAAGGTCCAGAAGCTAGATCTTTGAAATCACTGAGTGTAAGATTTAATTCTATTACCAGTATAGAGATTCAACTGAGAAACATGTCCATGCTCTGGACCCAGATGAAGGTCAGAGGCCTGGAAGTGAGAGTGTGTATATAACCAACTTATTTCATTAAAGGTTCCCTCTTTTCACATTTCAGAGTTATTTACCTGCTCGATCATACAAAATGTGAGATTTCTGGAGGCCTTCCTTCACATCATTTTCAGTGATCAGAACTCTACTGGGAGAATAGGTTTGCCCACTCTTCTTACAAAACATCTTTCTAGAGCTTAACCGGGCCAGTACTGCCAGCTGCAGTCCATTCAATCCAGCTCGGGCATCTCCATCACTGAGATAAGCCAGAGTGTCTACTGCTTTATCCTCTATGAATACGAAGGGCCTGCAATACAACAAGTTTTAGTTATTGTCACACTCATACTACATAATTTTCATTCTATAGCACTTCTCAGCGATCTCATGTCTTAGCAAGGTCACTAAAAACTACCGTAGGTTCAAGATTCCTGCTCTTTATCCTTAACTTACATTGTTAACTTGGTTAAGCACTACTGAGATTATAAACAGACCTGACTCTGAGCCATGAGGGTATTTCACTGTATAAGCACACACATAAGCATGTAGGAAAGAGACATGGAAAGCTTTATAAAGTCACTGTGGACATGTAGTCTCTCTGGTTTTATCCTACAGAAATAGTGAAAACTATAGAAACATCAGTACCTCATTATAATGTACAGAAAACATGCCTCAAGTGCAGTCCATAGCCTGACAACACCTAGACTACTTCCCACATACAGGAGACAGCATCACATCAGAAAGCTAGCTCTGAAAAGCTCCAGATCACACAGCTCAATTCCCTTGTTTTACAAACAAACCAGGTATCCAATTATTTGGGGCATAGTAGGACCTAGAAGCAGGTCTCTGGAATTTTGGGGTGCACTTCCAGGTAGGTATTAATCACTTGAAGTCTGCATAAAGTAGCAGAGGTCACAAGCCTGGACATCTATTAGAAGATTCTGGCATACCTCAGCCATGAGACCTTGGGTTAAGTGATCTAGCCCCTGAACATCAGGACTAAAAGTTATCATCACATTTCTAAATGTGGACCTCTGTAAAGAAAGTCTGACAATGATTGATTTCAAATTTTATTGAGCAAAATGTTCTATCCCTAGTCTATTTAGATATCTATCACATTTAGTTACTTAGAGGGATCTTATTAAGTATTGGCTAACTGTTAGCAGCACAATTTTTCAGTTATAGCTCACCCATGTCATCGCTAAACTTGAGCTAGAAATGCCTACTGTCAAAACATTTAAGTCAATTAGGACTGTCCAAACCAGCTACTTGGAAAACAATGCACAGGTACCAACTGGGCTGGGCCAACACATGGGAATTGGACTGGGTGGGTGGGGGGTTGCTAGGAAAGGGGGCCCAGCTTGTCTTTGAAGGTCAATGTAAAATTCCTTACTGTACACTCACCCTACTACTTGGTTGAATGGCTTAAGTAACACCAATGTGCATTTTATTAACCAAAAGATTTGTTTCTAACACTTTAAAGGTCTCATTTCCTAATTTACCTAAGCTAAGACTTCTAGTGAACTGTGATCCTGTTAACTGTGATCATGAAGCTCTTGTTCTGCCTTATAGCTTGATAATGACCAACTCTCTCATCAGACTCCTGACAGCTTCCCTGGCCTCGAGCCATGGTTGCAATCTGGAGTCCCATACTTCTTCCTTCCAGGCCAAATACTCAAAATACACACCAAGGCCACAGCACCCATGTTTTGTAAAGCTGACAAACCATTTCTTAAGCAGAAATTACTTAGAAGATTTTAGAGGATTTGAAAGAAAATGACAGACAATATAAACCAAAAGAAAATGTGTCAGGAAGAACCGAAGATGTATGGCAGTCCCCAATGCACCCAAGAGGGAAGGGTGCACACCTGGCTTGGTTACTGCATAATATGTGTCGGGTATTGGGGGGAGCAGATAAAATCAAAATTGCCTGAATATCTCATTTCAGCCTCAGACCTAATAAAAGCAACACCTTCCATCTCCTTGGCAAGCTTTCTAGCAACAAAAAGCCTGCAGGATCACTTGCAGGAAGAAAAAGAAGTAAAGTGGGAGCCTTAACCAATCCTAACCAATTGAGCCATCACCATGAGCCAAGCCATTTGTGGATCACATCTGTCATCTCTCCATTTCCCATAAATGTTGAGGGCTCAAGGATAGAAATTACGTTTTATTCTTTCTTTGTATCCCCAGTGCCTGTTACAGAATAGGTGTTCAATATCTGCACAATATGAATGGACTAACTTCGATTTTCCCACAATTTCATAGTGAAACACTTATTTCCTTTCAAATTACAATATATAGAAAGTATAAGCCCACACCACCAAAATCCATTATCTTCTCTACCTAGAAATAACCACAGCTACTATGGCCTCTGTTGAAGTTCCTTCATGATCAATCCACCACTCCAACCGTAAACCTTACATCTAATTCATCTAATTTAAAACAAAATTGGGATTATACTATGTGTAGTTTGCATCCTTAACAGTGAAGTTTCTGAAAAATATACTCAGAACTCTAAATATTACTTCTTTATAAAATGTACCTTATATTAAAATTTTAAAATAGAGACAAAGTAGTAAAAGTCACTTACTGCTGTATCACCTTAACCTTAGTATTTTGGTATACATTCCTTTTCTATGACTTTGTCCTTCGTATATAAAGACACAAGTACAGTACTTTTGGGGCAAAGAAAAACATATGGGTTTTAATACTTTAGTGCTTATTATACTGTCTTGTTTCACAAGTCCCATATAAAGCCAGTGAGTAGGCCCTTTTAATTATGAGAGAAGATAACTTGCAGACTGTTTCACAGATTTATAAACAGCACATTGTAAATAAACCTTTTTAAATGGGCATTTATTTCATGTGATTGGAAAGTAGAATTTTTCAATTTTTAAACTCTTAACCAAAGTGCAAGTCGTTCTATTGTTCTTCTTTTGAATCAGGGTTGAAGTCACAAAGAATGGGAGTGCTGCTGCAATAAAACTAGAGGTAAGTGCTTTTACTTAAGGCTCCTGCTGCTATATTCCTCCTCCCTTTCAATATAATCCATACTCCAAATTTTCTCCCCTGTCCAAAATGAACATTTTTAAACACAAATGAATTTTCCAGAAATTCTACTCAAGTCATAAAAAGTGACTACTGATGGAACTCACAATGGTCACACAAATAAATCCCCAAGTGGAAACTTGCTATTAAGAACACTGTATAGGATATTCTAAAGGTCCTACCTACCATTCCATATTTCCTGAACCCTAGTTTACTCTACCTAGCTTCTGAGGAGCAATAAAATGTGTGAAAATACCTTGAGATCTTAGGAGAGGGACCAGATGAGAGTACTCAGGCCAAGAATAATGAAATAAGGGATATCTGTATTTATATTTGCAAAACTCACCAGCAAACAGTAACTACTGAAACTATAAGTAACTACAAAGTATCTTAAAAGAGTACTCCCAGTCCAGAGAATTTAACATGGATTTTTAAATAAAGTATAAACTTATAAAATATAGAAAGTATATAGTATATAGAAAGTATAAGCCATTTACAAGTAACTTTCCAAAATTAGCATAGAATTAAATGAGGCACGATTTACTTTGGGGATCAAGTCCTGAAATTTCATAGCATCCCATATGGAAAGAAATGAGATTGTAAATTATATTGTTGTAACGTGGTTTAAAAAAAAACTCTCAACACAAAACCCTCAATTATTCCATAATAAGAGGAAAAAAGTGGTTAAAATAAATGCTTTGGAAAAGACTAGATTCCTAGTTAATAAGACCTAGAGATAAAACAGAGCCTAGTTTCTCCAACAGAAGTGAAATGCTTTGGGCTTAGCAGAATATGGGATACATGCTGTAAAGACAGCTCCTTCCTTTCCTTTTTTTCTTCCAAGGGTGTGAATCTTTCTGCCCATTGTTTTTCTGGTGAATGACATTGGGACTTGGACAATTCTATTGAGATGGTTGAGTATTTAAGTTGAAGGAGTGAGGTACCGAAAGCATACCTGTTATTTCATGGCAGAACAAAGGAATACACATGGCTCAGTTAAACTCTCCCTAAATTACAAAACAATACTCTGTGCATCTCTTTCACTTACGAAAATAAATACTCCACGGTTAGGGTAACAACTGGTATGCAAGAGTTCTCAACCAAGAGTGTGCATCAGATTACAGAGCACTTCCCAAAAGTACAGCTCGTGTGTATTTTACTAGAGATTTACTGATGCTGAAATCTCTAGGGATAGGCCCTGAGCACATGTATTGTCAAAATGTACCCCTGATAATTTTAACAGAGCAGATCTGGTTAATAGGTACTACTGCTAAATTACAGCTGGGAATCTTGTGCCCCTGATACTTAAAAATTATTAATTTTTTAATATTAAAAAGGAACACAGGAAAAGGTGGGAATAGTAATACTTACCAGTAGTTAATTTAATTTGATAATAATAATCATACCTAGACCCCTTCTAACAACTAAGGTAGCTTGGTAGTTAGAAACACGATGAATTCAAAAGCTGGTTCTGTCTTTGTTCAAGTGGGGTGACCTTGGCATGTTAGTTAACCCTTTTGTGCCTCAGTTTCCTCATCTAATAAAAAGGAGGTAATGATACATATTTTGCAAAGGATTAAATAAGACATGTAAAAGGTTTAGAATAGTGACTAGACATCAGGAGCTCTCAATTTTACCATGAATAATGAGAATCATTTTCATTGGACTGGTTAGTAGTATACTGTCTAGAAGAATTACAAATTTCAGGCAAGCCCTAAGCCCAGCTGCTTCCATGATAACCAGAGTGAAAATAAAACAAAACTTGCTCCAAAGAGAATATAAACTCACAGATGATGCCCCTTTCTGTTTAACCCTGGGGAGGCATGCATCTTTCCTAATTACACTATATCTAATACACTTGGTAGGGCACAGTGGGATAAGTAGCCCTAAAAGATGTGTCTAAGTCCTAATACTTGAATCTGTGAATTTAACTACTATAAAATCTCATAATTAGATCATTCCAGATTTGGTATAGGTCCTAAATCCAATGACAAATGTCTTTATAAAAGACAGTAAGAGAAGACAGAGGTAAGCAGAGATTGGAGTAATCCTGCTACAGGCCAAGGAATGCCAGAAACCACCAGACTCTGAAAGGGAAGACTCATTCCTTGAGTCTTTGGAGGAAGTGTGACCCTGCAAAAAAGCTTCATTTCAGACTGTGAGCCACACCATTACTGAGAGTGTAAATTTCTGTTCTTTTAAGTCACATAATTTGTGGTAATTTGTCACACCTGCCACAGGAAGAGAATACCAGGTCCCTGAAATCTGTTTCTAGCTGGCCGTGTTATGTCATCATTAATGTATGTTAATATAACATTTTTCTTTATATCAAAACATTTTAAGAAAGATTATTAAAACCCACAGCTCCTTCTGACCAGTACCTTGTATGCTGGTGTTCTACTACCTTTCTTTCTATTCAGTGTTTGAAAAGATTCTTTTTAAAGGGCAGGCAGAATAGTTCAAACTTTTTTGAAAGCAAAAACAACTGAGAAACAAACTTACAGCTATCTTGTTTGGGGCCATCTCATTTTGGAGCCACTTTGCCTGGGCTCCCCTCTTAGGGTAATCGCAGAAAAGCCCCAGTCTCAGAGTCAAGCCATACAACACTTTCACTTCAGGATGGAGGCTACTTCAACTCTTTGAACCAACTTTCAGCATTCTGTCTAGTTATACAGCAAATGGGCAACTATGGCCTCTCATTTCATTCTCTTCATGTCCACAAGCTTACCCACTATTATTTGGTTTACAAACAACTGATTCTTTAGGGGTGTTTTCAAATAAGCATGCATCCAACGATCTGGAATTTACAATCCTTAAAAGGCAGCAAGTACTGCAGGGTGATTAAACACTAGTTTACTTTCTCATTTTCAATAGCACAAACTCATCAGACTCTAAACCATGGATTTTTTCTTGGCCTCCAAAATTAACCCAATGTACAGGTAACATATGACCAAAGTGCTTAGTGAGCAAAATATACGAAAACTGTTAATTATTCATACAAACCAAAGCAACCATGGGATAGATAATTCAATATAAATTACCAGCTGACCTCCATCTTTCTCTTTACAACCAAAACACAATTGAGTATATATAGAGTACTATTTTGCAGATGTTACACTAAAGCTGGAGGGCAAGAGAGAGGTGATATGCTATTTTTTGGCTCTTCTTTCCTGTTGCTTGGAATACGAATATAATGATTAGATCTCCATTAAGTGATTGCCCTGGGGCATGAGGTAGAAGCACCCTCCGAAAATGTGGAGCAGAAAGACAAGGGCCCATGTCCCTGACAATACTGTGAAGCTGGACCTTCAGGATAAATATAGGAGGGAAATTAAAAAAAAAAAAACAAACACTTTCATCTCATGCTAATGAGAATTTATAGTATAAAAGTATATAATGCCAAAAATTCACAATCCTTCAAGTAAAATCAAGAGTGGTGTGAGCATCAGCTTGATTAGTTTCCAGATTCAGTACCTGCTCAGCTCCTCTCACACACAGCCGTAAACAGTCTGGACTCCCTCTGTAAATATTCTACTTGCTACCTAAGGCACCAAAACATACTAATACAAATGCGCACTCACAGCTTTCCAGAGAAAGTAATTATTTGGGGTCGATTTCCTTCGCACTAAATCAGTGTAACCAATCTAATTATGACCACAAGAATGTATATGTAGTAAATGCCAGTCAGTAGAAGTTTGAAAGTAAAATTTTACCTGAAACTGAAAGACAGTACAATCTACTATTAATGATACATGGCAACTGGATGGCCAGGTACTTCTATCAGGAAATCACCAAAATTCTTTCTATGTAATATAAGAATTCTTTCTATGGCCTATGACATCTCCCAACTTCTTGTCAGAATTTCTAACAAGCAGACCAATTAAACTTAATAATCTTTAATTTCATTCTGCTTGATGTTAGTGTGCTTTAGAAACAGTATTTTTTAAAAAAGGTTCTTGATACGTGGGCAACGGGGTTATTATCCCTTATGCTGCACTATACAAAAAAAAACTATTTCTTTCATGATAGCTACAATTTACCTATTCATTTGCAAACCATTTACTAAACATGTTACATACTAGGCACTGTGCTAGGTCCTGACGATATGAACAAGCAGGAAAAGTTTCTATTCTCCTAGCTTTTTCAGGAAGGTACAAGATTTAAGAAGGTAAACAAGAGAATGAAAAGAAGTAATAGTTAGGATCAATTATAAGTAAGTAATAATGGAAAAAGTAAATGATCTATTGGGTAGAGGTGGTTTTCTTTGACTAGAAGGCAATTCTGGCAGATTACAAATCACTGGCTCGCTTTTGTATCAAGCTTTCAGTTTCAGCAATAAGAAAAAATTCTTTCACTTGCTCCTCTCAAATTTTAGTGTGTATTCAAGTGACATGGGAATCCTATTAAAATGCAGAAATCCCTTTTAAGATGAGCTCCATGGTTTTACTGTCCTCATTTCATTTGAGTTATGTCATGGTAGTGATGGGAAAGGGAAAAACAAGAGCCCAGCATACAAAGGGCTCCTAAATATGAATATACCTGATACCAACAAGTTCCATACATCTTCCTAACCACAATTTTGAAGGCTATCCCTTCACAACTATACTCTAAAATGATGTGACTTTGTTTTGCCTAGGGGTCCTCAGACATGTTTCAGCTCTTTCCTGAAGCTTAGCATTAATTCCTATGTCTGAGAAACAGCAAATGGGAGAGGCCATACACACAGGGAGGGACTGTTGAAATATAAACCCTGAGCCTAAGTCTTAGACTATAATCCTCACAGAAGAGTGGCTCCAGAATTTTGCCTCAGGGCAAGCAGGCACCAGCAGCTGTGGGGTCCACAGCAGGAAGAGGTAGGCATTAGCCTCTCTCATCACACCAGATTATGTTCCACTGCATTATTTCAGCTGACACATGAATCAATGACATCTGAAGAATATAAACTAATATAAATAAATAAAAACTTCTGACTCAGATAATCTAATTAATTATCCATGATATACACCCTGTGAGTTAAGGAACTCATAGCACTTATGACACAGAAATAGACCACCTAAAGGAAAGGGACAGTTTCTTTCTTTCTTTCTTTTTTAAATTTAACTGTTGTTCAAGCAGTTTTCCGTCTTTTACTCCCATCCCAGCCCACCCCCTTTAGTTTTTGTCCATGTGTCCTTTATACTAGTTCCTGTAAATCCTTCCTCCTTTCCCCTGAAAATTCCCTCCCCTTTCCCTTCTGGTCATTGTCAGCCTGTTCTCTATTTGAGTGTCTTTGGTTATATTTTGCTTGCTTGTTTGTTTTGTTGTTTAGGTTCCTGTTAAAGGTGAGATCATATGATATTTGTCTTTCACCACCTAGCTAATTTCACTTAGCATAATGCTTTCCAGTTCCATCCATGCTGTTGCAAAGGACAGGAGCTCCTTCTTTCTTTCTGCTGCATAGAATTCCATTGTGTAAATGTACCATAGTTTTTGGATCCATTCATTTACTGATGGGCACCTAGGCTGCTTTTAACTCTTGGCTATTGTAAATTGTGCTGCTATGAACATTGGGGTGCACAGCTTCTTTTGGATTGGTGTTTCAGGGTTCTTAGGATATATCCTAGCAGTGACATCGCTGGGTCAAAAGGCATATTCAATTTTAGTTTTCTTAGAAAATTTCATACTGTTTTCCACAGTGGTTGTACCAGTCTGCAATCCCACCAACAATGAACTAGAGTCGGAAAGGGACAGTTTCTAATGTGTCTTTTTCAGTTAAAATTACTTTACCCTCATGTAACTGAGTTTGACTTACAGAGTATGCAAAAAAATCAGCCTAAAATGATTTAAGGGATTTTATGGTACCATTTACTTTAACTTTTACTTAATGTTTTTTAAAAGAAGAGCAAACTGTAGGAAAAGAAACTGAAATCTGAGCATAAATATCAAAAGAATTATATGAATTTTAGATATGGCAATTATAAGCTACAAAACATCTTAAAATAAAGACATACTTGCTGATATAATTCAACACTTCCCTCCTCTGTTTTCAATACTAGATCAACATTTCTTCACGATCCCCACCCTCTACTTACTTCTTCCTGTCTGTATATCCCTTTCTGGACCCCTGCCAGTGGATTCTCTGGGAGGTGTGTGACCCCAGGATACTGCATACAATCAACTTACTCAGAGCTGCTGTTGCTGCTGTGGCTCAAAGAGTCAGTAGGATGGTTGGAATCAAGGACATGGATGCCCAGTGAGTTGATTGCTCGTATTAAAATAGTTACCATTGCCTCTACTGGAAGCTTCTCAAGAACAATAACCCTACAGCGGCTCAGAAGAGCAGCATTGACTTGGAAGGATGGGTTTTCCGTGGTTGCCCCAATGAGAGTGATTGTCCCACATTCCACGTGAGGAAGAAACGTGTCCTAATCATGGGAAGAAAAGAGAAGAAATTGATTCCAGTCAACAACATGCAGAATCCTATGTAAGTTGGTTATACATTCCTTCCTTTTCCTAACTTTGACTTCAGGAATAGCAGCTTTATATTTACTGAATATGGATGCAACAGCTAATGATCAATTAATGTTTTTTAATAAGCTTAAAACATATCTTCTGGCACATCTTCCTAGTCTCTTGCTGTTAGACTAACAGCTCAAAGTAGAATTGTACTGTAGTTTCAACATAAACAATTTCTTTATTTAGAAAAGTAACCTCTATCCCAAGGCCAAACTGCCATAGTTTAAATATAGCAGCTATTTATTTATAGAAGTCTAAGGAAACACAAAAAATTAAATTTCCAAGGTCAGATCTTCTTCCAATGTGTCAATATATTGTTATTCCTCCTAAAAATACTTGGTAAAAGAAGTTATATATTTATATTTTTATCTATATCTATCTCAGTAAATATGTAACCACCACATGCTGCCTATAGGAAAGAAATGCTAAGATGAGTCAATGCTCCAATATAAAACCTACAGTGCTAATATCCAGTCGGAACTCAGAGGGTCTATTTAGTCACAGATACAAATCAGGCAAAAAAAAAGTTTAGTAGGGTTTTGTAAAATATTTCTATCTCTGACTAAGAAGCTGTAACAAATGTGTGTATTTTAAAAAGTATACCTGGTAAAAAGTTTATATTTAGGAAGAATACAAAAGTGGCTTTGTTTACAAAAAGTAGTGCTTCTATTTTTACTTTAGGAAGCCATTTAAATAAGCAGTAAAGATTACATCTTGATAATTTTCACTGTGACAAAAACCTGAAGCCATGGAAAACACCTTTTAATCTTGAAAATAAAAAGTAACACTTTATACAGAAGAAATTCAAAATTAAGTTAAACTGTTCATTATAACTGCTAATATTTAGATTAAAAATTTCAAACTTTGATCCAAAGCCACTTTTTTTGGTATGCATAGCTCAAAGATATACAACTTTCATTTACCAGAAAACATTTTCTTGTCATAAAGAACACTCAGAAAAAGTAGAGAAATAGGCTCCAGAGAGATGGGTTGGCGGTCTGTACTTCTTTATAGACAGAGAGTTAATAATAATAGTCCCTAGAATTTGTATAGTGCCTAATGCTTTTCAAAGTGATTTCACATACTTTATATTCTATTTAACATTCACAATGACCAAAAGGTAGAGAAGTTAATATACCTGCTGAGATTTATTGAACCGATGAATCTCATCAATAAAGAGTATGGTTTTCCTTTTGAAAAAGCTCTTTTCATTTTGAGCTTGTTTTATGACATCTCGTACATCATTTGTCTTGGCATTTGTTGCAGACAATGTCACAAACCTTATGCTGTGTTTTTTGCTGTTGTTGGCTATGATGTGAGCCAGGGTGGTCTAGAAAAGATGACAGAATTTGGAAAGCTGATCAGACATAGAGGGGAAAAAAGCACCAATGGGTACAAATACAATCAAGCGCAAGCACAATTTACCAATTTGACCTCTGAAAAATACTTAGCAGCATATATACAATCTGAAATACCACAACACACAATTACAAGTTTTTAAAAAAATTTTAAATAAAACAGGAAAGTAACAAAACTTTACGCTAATCCTGATTTTTCTCCTTTGTACCTAACCCCATTTGATTCCTTTTGGGGGGGAAGGTGAGGAAGATTCGAAGATTTTTGGAATCCCAGTAAAAAGAACAGCTGTTTTGATTTAGCAGAGCCTCAGTGACAGCTGTGATCTCTTCCAGCCAAGAAAGCATTACTACTGAAGGGCTGAGTGTATAACTGAAGTGCAGGACCACAGACTCGATTATTCCACAACAAGAAGCTTATCATTGCAGCCTAGAAAAGGAGAGTGAGACTCTGAATTGAGAGACCAATGGCAATTACCTAGCAATTAAGATGACTGCATGCCACTTATGAATGTCTATTTTGTAAGGAGGTGAAACAATAGCACTTTGGTCACGTTAGTACTTACCAGAAAACAATGGTGATCCAAGGAAAATACTGCTCAGTGCCGCAGTATTTAATGGTGCTCTACGAATTTGCATATGCTCTTATTTACTAACATTATTATTATCGTTAGCAATATAGTAATAAACAGAGGAATAAAGCCAAAGGGAAGACTGTGTAACCAGAGAGCCAAATTTGCCCCTGAGTAATGGAAAAGGTGGCACTTTAATTTCTAAAAGTTGCAGAGTGCCACTGGATACTTAAAAGTTGTATAGCACCATTAGACACTGTGGCTGCTTCTTCAGCAAATCCCAGCCTACCGGCTCTCATGCTAAGTATGTAAAAGCTTGTGACTTACTCATCAACCATTACACTGAGGAATATAGCCCACTAAAAATCTCTTATCCAGCATCTTCTGAGTTCACCCTACTCATTTCCCTGGGGACTTTTTTCTTGTCATATGGGACCATCAACAGCTGATCAGCCATTCTCATGATCTTATGTATAGACTTCACATACAATTAATAAAAATGCTACTGCAGCTCAATCTCCTAAATGTGGTAAAATGTTATTTGGGTTAGATCCGATTTATACCTGGCCAAAAGTAAAGTATGAATGCAAACAAGAAGGCACAAAATGAACAAGTATTCCAGGAACTGGAGTAAAGGGAGATGTGATTAAGTTGTGAGAAATGAAGCTGGAAAGAAAAACTGGAGAAAAGTAAAAAAAGTCCTTGTGTGCTAAGGCGTTGGAACATGAAAGCTCTGAGAGTCCCTATACACTCTGATCCTGTATGTTGCCTTTCATTCACTGGTGCTCATTCTTCTCCCTCTTCCTATGGCGTTAAAAAAAAACCAAACATACTTAAAAATCTCAACTCACTCTCTCTTTTCAGTCTTAACACTCAATTGTTTTTCAAGTGTTCTTTCTAGAGCCCAATATCTTACCTGCCCTCCTCTGGACTTGTAATTCCAAGCAAGGCATATAAAACTGGACACCAAAATACTGTATGTACATCGATGTTTCTTCTCTAATGTACATGGCATTATCAGCACTGTTATGGAAATGCTGGATTATAACGACTTGCGGAGAGAAAAGAGTGTTCATGCTAGTCTTGTGAAATATATGTAGTTTCAATAAATAAAAATCAGTCTGTTCAAATCAACAAACAGATGGAGAGGAAGGAAGTGCAACAGAAATTAAAATTTTTCCCAAAACTGAATCCGTATATCTGCAAATGATCCTCTGCAATTTATAGCATGCTATTTTCTTGACAATTTGATCACTAATGTGGCGTTGAAATAGAAAAGCAGATCATGAGTCCACATATTCGTATGAACCTATGAATTCAGAAATTCTCATTTTGACGAGAGGAAAGTGTCTTAGGAATCTGAGTGGGTGTGCCTTTATTACGTCCATCACAACTCCATCTGTGGGACCAGGCACTGCCCGGGCTAAGAAGCTACCTGAAGCCCCGCACTCTTAGGTCTCAATACCCAGAGACGGGGGGATTCTTCGAGATCGGCAAATGCCAAAGCTATCTCACCGTTAGATTCACGCACCGACCCGTGAAAATCCACACTCTGAGCCTTTCTGGCCAGGCGGCACTCACCTTGCCGCAGCCGGGCGGCCCCCAAAAGATGAGCGAGGGGATTTCGTTCGTCTCCAGGAGGGACCTGAGCAGGGTCTCTTGCCCCACAGCTCTGCTCTGCCCAATGTAGTCCTGAAGCGTGTCCGGACGCATCTTGTCGGCCAGCGGCTTGCCTTCCAGCATCTGCCGAATCTCCTCCGCCGCCAGCGCCCTTGAGTGCGGGCGGGCTCCGCCGCAGGCCCCAAAAACAGCGGCGTCTGCATCCCAGTGAGCTGGGTCGTCTTCGCCATCGGCATCAGCGTCCGCATCACCACCGCCCACCGCTTCTTCTTCCTCCGGTGCCTCCACCTCCTCCCAGCTGCGCGGAGACACGCTACCGGCGGCCGCGGCAGCCGCAGCGGCGGGCCTCTTCCCTGAGCCCTTCCTCCCCGGGCTGCTGGAGCGCGCTACTGGGAAGTCCGGGATTAGGCGGGCGCCACTGGGCGTGGGCGGCGCGTCGTAGCTCTCTCGGCTCTCGGTCTCACCGCCGTCGTCGCCTTCCTCCCCGTCGCTGCTCTCGGCCGCCGTCGGGGTGGCAGGCTGCTTCAGTGCTGAGCTCTCGGAGAGCCGCCGCCTCTTGGTACTCGGCGGCGAGAGCCCCGTGGGCCGCTCTCCCGCGCGGTGGGGCCGCGCCGCGGGCTCCGCGTGCCCAGCGGGATTAAGCAGCAGACAGCGGTCCAGGTGTGAATTGATGTGTGCCGCGGGCATCATCTGCTGGCACACGGGGCACTGCACTTGGCGCATCTGCGACAGGAAAGGGTCGTCTTCCGGCCCGCTCACCTCCATGGCGGCCGCTGCCCTCTTCGGCGCGGTCGCAGCACCCCAGCAAACGCCGAGGGCTCCCGATGCACGCCGCTAGGCCCCGCGTCGCGCTCCCCTCGTTCCGGGAGGCGGCAGGACTCGAGCCCACCGGGTGAGGGCGCCGCTCATGCCTCACGTCCGGGACTTCCCGCTTCAGCCCGCCCTCAGCCGGCCTTGCCTCCCGCGGCGTCTCGCGCGGCAAGTCGGGAAGGGCTCGCTGCAGCGTTTTGTCGCGGCCATCGCGTTTACCCATACCACAGCCTATCGGGAAGTGTAGTCCGACGATTCGCGAGCCACCTTTGAGAGGGGCCGTCGTGGATGGCGGGTTGCGCGTGCGCAGAGCACGGTAGCGAACCTGGTGCCCAAACGAGTCCTTCCAGGTTGGGTCAAATGGACAGTGACCCTGAACGCGCCCATAGGTTGCTCTTGGGAAAACTGCTCTCCACCTTCCTGTGCTAAGGGGCGGTGTGTGGAGAGTGGAGGGACCGGAAGAGACCCAACGTGGACACCTCCTCCTTAAAGGGAAAGAGGGTGGGAATGAGGTGACTCTTAAAACGCTCTAGTAGGAAAAAGAGTTTCAACAAAGGATAAAATTTAAAATACACGTGTCAGCAAAATGTTAACCTGAGCAAATGCTGAGAAATGCAAATTAGAACACGTTGCCCTGGGCTGCCCTTCTAGATTTTTGGCCTTTTAGCCAAGGACAGTTTTACCGAAAGAGTATACCTAGGTGCATGTCCCCTTCTACTCTTTAATAGTGAAAAATTAGAAAAATATTTAATTCTAGTCAAGTTAGGGTATAGTTATTCTAGTCAAGTTAGGGTATAGATATCCCCATAGCAGTAAAATATCAGGCAGCCATTTAAAATTAACATACATTATAGACAGTGACAGAAAATGCCCAACATGGATTAAGAAAATGTATGGTATGCCACAAATTTGAATGATAGGATTATTGTTTTCTGTTAAACCTCTCCTTTAGAAATGTGTCACAAAAATGCAATTTTGGTATTTAGAGGTAGAAAATAAATTGAGAGGACAAAAAGGGGGAAAATAAAAGAATTTTAGAAAAGAATGAACTTTTTTCTAAAAGTTGACAAAAATTGTTTTTTTCTTTTTTAAATATATTTTATTGATTATGCTATTATGGTTGTCCAGTTTTTTTTCTCCCCTTAATTCCCCTCTTCCTTGCACCCAACCTCCCACCAGTATTCCCCCACCTTATGAGTTCTTTGGTTTCTCCATTTCCTGTATTATCCTTAACCTTCACCTCTCTGTTTTGTGCCTACCATTTATGCTGTTTATTGCAGCTTTTCTCCAATTTCCCCCTTTCCTCCTCCCTGCTGATAACCCTCCATGGAGATACCATGTGATCTCCATTTCTGTGATTGTATTCCTGTTTTAGTTGTATGCTTAGTTTGTTTTGGTTTTAGATTTGCTTGTTGATAGCTTTGAGTTCGTTGTCATTTTACTGTTATTACTTTTTATCATCTTTTTCTTAGATAAGTCCCTTTAACATTTCATATAATGAGGCCTTGGTGATGATGAACTCCTTTAACTTGACTTTATCTGGGAAGCACTTTATCTGCTCTCCCATTCTAAGTGATAGCTTTGCTGGATAGGATAATCTTGGATGTAGGTCATTGCCTTTCATGACTTCGAATACTTCTTTCCAGCCCCTTCTTGCTTATAAAGTTTCTTTTGTTAAAACAGCTGGTAGCCTTATGGGAACCAGCTGTTTCCCATAAGGGAACTGTCTCCTCTTCTTTGTAGGTAACTGTCTCCTTTCTTCTTGCTGCTTGTAAGATGCTCTCCTTATCTTTAATCTTGGGTAATGTAATTATGATGTGCTTTGGTGTGTGCTTCCTTGGGTCCAACTTCTTTGGGACTCTCTGAGCTTCCTGAACTTCCTGAAAGTTTCTTTCCTTTCCCGGATTGGGGAAGTTCTCCGTTATTTTTTCAAATATGTTTTCAATTTCTTGTTTTTCCTCTTCTCCTTCTGGTACCCCTATGATTCAGATGTTGGAACATTTTAAGTTGTCTTGGAGGTTCCTAAGCTTCTCTTCATTGTTTTTTGAATTCTTGTTTCTTCATTCTGTTGTGCTTGACTGTTTATTTCTTCCTTTTGCTCCAAATCATTGATTCGAGTTCTTGTTTCCTTCCCATTATCGTTGGTTCCCTGTACATTTTCCTTTATTTCACTTAGCATAGCCTTCACTTTTTCCTCTGTTTTGTGACCATACTCAGCCAATTCTGTGAGCATCCTGATCACCAGTGCTTTGAACTGTGCATCTGATAGGTTGGCTATCTCTTCATCACTTAGTTCTATTTCTGGAGCTTTGATCTGTTCTTTCAATTGGGCCATATTTTTTTTTTTTTGTCTTGGCTTGCCTTTTATGTAGTAAGGGGCAGAGAGCCTTACTCGTTAGTCAGGGCAGGGCAACCACGTCATTGTGTTGTATCGCTATATGTGGGGGAGGGAATCAGAGAGGGAACAATGCCACTTGCTCAGCTCTTGTCCCACTTTCCATCATTTCCCTGGCTTTCCACAAGTGGATTGTGCCCTTTCAGGTGCTGATTCACAGGTGGGTGGGTTTATTTACATTTTAGGACCCTTTGGGCCTCTCTAATGGACTCTCATGTGAGACTGGGAGTTTCCCCCACCACCACAACCCCTACAGGATTTTACCACCAGGGGTTTTTGAGTCTTTAGTTTCCCTCACCGAAACCCTGGTTTTTTCAGTCTGTCTTGCTCCCCTATTGTTCCTCCCAGCTTATCTGCATATAAATGTGGGATTTCCTTGTCCTCCAGCTGCTGCCTTGCCTGGAGTCTTCTCGGCCCTGGCTGCTCATCTCCACCCTTCCTACCAGTCTGGATGAATGTTTCTTTTTTAACTCTCTGGTTCTCAGACTTGCATACAGTTCAATTTTCTGGCAGTTCAGGTTATGTTTTGTTTTTAAATTTGTTGTCCTTTTGGTTATGTGAGGAGGCAAAATGTATCTACCTATGCATCCATTTTGGCTGGAGTCCACAAAAATTGGATTTTTATTTACACAAGAACATCTTGAAATGTGTCCTTAAGTAAACACTTAATGACTCTATTAGCCCCTTCATAAAAGATGATTTTACAAAAAGAGAAATGACTCAAAGAACTAGAAGTAGCCCTGACTGGTGTGGCTCAGTGGATTGAATGCCAGCCTATGAACCAAAGGGTCTCAGGTTTGATTCCCAGTCAGAGCACATGCCTGTGTTGTGGGCCAGGTCCCCAGCTGGGGCATGTGAGAGGCAACCTCACATTGATGTTTCTCTTTCTCTCTTTCTTCTTTCCTTTCTGTCTCTAAACATAAATAAATAAATAAGTAAATAAAAAAGAACTAGAATTAGATTAAGGATATTATTAAAAAGGAAGTGTAAAGGAAGCATTTTTTGTCTGTTCATATTGGGTGTCAAGTATGTGTCCTGTCAACTGAAGGTCGTTGATGTCAATTTAACACTTTTGGGGTGGGGTGAAGAAGGGAATTTTATTCAGTGCAAATAGCTCAACTGCTAGCAATAACAACACATCTCTAGGAAGCCTTTTGGCAAGACCCTTTGTGTTTCAGCTTGTGCTAGGAGAAATGTTGGGAACCACTCTGCCTGGTTTCAGGAATTGTAACTACCCCCATGGCCAAGGATGAGTGAGCAACCTCCCGAATGCGAACCACAAGGAGACAAAGCTTGTCTCTGGTAGCAAATGCCACCTCTGCTTACTCCCCTGCCCCCAATGCATGGTCGGATAGTCGACAATGGGTATGACTCCTCAGAGGAGGGGCAACCTAAGCCAGACATGATCACTTGGGAGGCCATCATGGAAGGACTCAGGGGGCTGCAACGAGGGAGTGATGTACCCTTGCCCCCTGGCTGTTCTGATATAGCCCGCGTCCCCATGTCCTCTGGGAGAAGTACTTCCTGGCTCTAATCCACTTAAGCCTAAAAAGCTGTGATGGGGAGGCAGTGCAGCCTCTTGCCAGCTAGAGTGGGATCTGGGGTAATCAGGAATAAGAAAGAATTCCTAAAAGTCCTGTGAAGCCTGCTTTGCTAAGAGTGCTTTCATTCATATGTTAAGGGTCCGAGCAGGAAATGAGTATGTCTCCCAAAGTTTCTGCAACCAACCCCCTTTCCTGACAGACACTAATTCAGACTAAGCCCTCAGATTTCTTTGAAATATTATCTACTGTTTGATCCTTGCTGCCTATATTCCTGTGTATTACAACCCAATAAAAGCCCCTGGAGGAAGGGGCTCCTGGCCTTTTTCCCCTGAGAAATTGGCCACCTCTCCTCCCTAAGCAGATCATGTCTTGGTACTGTTACTTTCACTCATGGTGGATGGGGACTTGCAGGCAAAGTCACCCCCACAGAGAAACACAGTTCTCCTTAGAAAGGTCCAGTGTACTCTGAGCCAGAGAAGTCCCTTCTTTGGTCCCTTTATTGGCCCATCCTCATGCAAATGAAGACTTCAAATCTTGTCAGTTTAAATGCCCCAAAAGATACTGTCCTGATTGGTTACAATGAAGCTACTCTGATTAACTGGTGAAGATGCTAATTGGGTGGGGAGGAAGCCTCACTCCTATTGGTTGAAATAGGATTCCAGGAACTCCTTTATAAGAGCTGACTCAGATGGCCTGAACACAGTGCAGGTTGCAGTTCAGTGCAGAGACAGGTAGTGCAGTGCAGGATTCTCTCTGAAGTGCAGTTTGCATAAGATAACCCTGTATATAGACTTCTGGCCAAGATGGAGGTGTAGATAGACATACTGTGCCTCCTCGCACAACCAAAATAGAGGCAACAAATATTTAGAAACAAAAAACAACCAGTACTGACAGAAAATTTAACTGTATGAAAGTCTGACAACCAAGGAGTTAAAGAAGAAACATTCATCCAGACGGATAGGAGGGGAGGAATCAAGCAGCCGGGCAGAAAGGGGTCTCAGCAAAGCAGTGGCTGGTGGACCAGGGTGCTCAAGGTGGCAGCTAGTGAATCTGGTGAAGCAGCAGATTGTGTAGGGGTGTGGCGCACAAGGCAACTGGTGGACTGTGCGTTCCCACATTCACACACACAGATAAACCAGGCAAAACTGGGGAGCAAGACAGACCCTGCAACCCAGGGTTCCTCAAAATACCAATTGAAAACACCTGTG